GCACCAAGAACAGGTCTCCTTTCTTTTGGGGCCCCTCTCGGAAGGAACGCCCAGGGGCTGATCATGGGAGTGTTTTCCTTGGGCGGATGTCAATGGCAGAGAGAAGGGGCCAGGTGTTATCTCAAAGGGCACGAGGTTGCCATTACAAAATGGGCCATTCTGGGTGTGAAAAGAATCACTCAGTTGTTTTCCAGGGTGGGGGCTGGGGGTCTTTGTCAGAGGGGGAGGGTTAGGAGTGGCACTTGCAGGGTGAGCCGTCTCCTGTGCTCCGGTGATGGTATCTTCAGAGGCCTGGCATTTGTGTGGGCTCAGTAAACGTTTACTTCCACTCAGGGCGGCGGGCCAGGTCCACAAGCCAATCACTCATCCATGGCACACGGAGAAAGGGCTTTTAGACAGCATTTGTTGGTGAGCCCGTGTCCAATGATGGTGCACGAAGGTCTGGAGGGAGTGGCACGGAGGAATGGAAATGGATCTATTCCCTGGGGTAACATGGGAGGTTGGGGGAGGGGGGCATGAAGGATGAGGGAAATGACACATCGAGTTGAATATTCTAGAATGAATCCTTGCAGGAAACCCTAGTGATCCTTGCAGGAATCCTTGCAGGAAAACCTAGTGGAGAACCAGTCTGGTGGCACAGAGGTTAAGCACTTGCGTGCTATCAGAAAGATCAGCCACCCAGACTCAACATCAGCTTCCCCAGAGAAAGATGGGCGGTCAGCTACTCCAAAGGGCGCAGCCTTGGAAAACAAAACCGAGGGGGCCGTCTGCTCTGTCCCCTGGGTTGCTCTGTCGGATTCAACGCCATGACCATGGGTTTGGTCTTTGGGTTCGGGGATTCTTGGGCCCTCCTGCGACAGCCCATTGACAACCCTTCAAAGTGTCTCCCTTTACTTTCCAAGATGGAAAAGCGTCTGGTGCGAGGTGATGCCATGTCCCCCGAGGGTACCCTCAAACAGGTAGCTGCCTTGTGCCAGTGAGGAAACAATAGTGTGTGTGTGTGTGTGTGAACTGTCCTCGTCACTATATTTACAAACTTAAGCCTCTGCATGCAGAAAGTCCTGAATGAACTCTTGAATGGTGAGACCGTCTTTTGAAGAGAACCGATAAATCCATTTCTTTGCCATATTCTGATTTCAGACCCTCGTTGAACCGGAGATAACTGATTAGCATCTCTGCTCACATCCCCCCTCTCCCCGCCATGGACCTCAGGAGTTGAAGGCCACATGGCAAGTGCTGGAGCTAAATCGCCCCTTGAAGTACTTCAGGGCAATGACCCAGGGCGGCTAACTCCACCTTGGCTGAAACGTGTACAGTGCTCTCTTGTGTTCACAAGGAAAGGCCAGTGAACCCTACTGCCTAGTTTTTCAAATTTATTCTAGTCGGTTCGCGTGTGTTGAGACATAAATCCTGAGCAACTGACACTGGAGAGAAAATTCACTTCCCCCACCTGAAACCACAAGACGAAGGGTCCCCGTTCTACCAAGGGGAGATCAAAGACTAGATAGCTTTTGTTCTTTGGAAATTTAACCACGCAATATGTCCTCGGCCACGTGTGTTGTCAAGCATTACCTAGCTTGCCACCCCTCATTTCCCCCCTTATGATTCACTACTTGACAAGCTGTGACTGGTTTCCACTGCCTGCACCCCGCAGCAAGACCAGAATCCTTCCTGATCAAGGACGAGAGACTCTCGACAGAATCTTCTGCAGTGCTCTGCTGAGACCCGAGGTTCTGGGGGCACCCTCCCTGAATGTTCAAGACACAGCATTGACCTTCTCTCCAAAGCACCGCTTCCTTTGGTCAGCTGACCCGTCCCAATGGCTATGCTGCATGCGTGCACTGATTTTGCACATATGTGCATGTGAGTGTGTGTGTGTCTCCCTCGCCAGAAGGTTACTAGGTCCACTCTGACCAGTAGGGACCAGCAGACTGGCCAGTTCGCACTGCCCCACCACACTTCCTGTTAATGGGGACTTTCAGAGTGACCCTGGCGGGCCTGAATGAATAACACCAGCCAGGAGCGGGGCAGAGACCAATAGACACAGTCAGCTGTCAGCGTGCAAGACTAGACCCAGAGAGCGAGCAGGGCCTCGGCATTGCCCCGTCTGCATCCTGCCCCATAAACCTGTCCTGATTCAGCCCTGTCATGCTGATGGCGTCTGATCTGCCAGCCTGTGTCACTCACGGTGTGACAGTGACAAGTCCCCTGTGGCGTTTCCACCAAGCTGACAGCCCAGCTCCCTGGGAAGGGGTGATGGGGACCCGCTGACCTCAATTTAAAGATAGGACAGGTGACACGGGCCCCTGAGTCAGCCCTGGCTAAATACTGCACTTCACCCTTGGTGACAGCTGCTCAGACTGAAACCCAAGTTAAAAAAAAAAAAAGGAGAAAATAGAAAGGCATCTTTTGTGTGTGTGTGTGTGTGCATATGCACATTGGGTGTGTATGTATGCACGCATATGTTGTATGCATGTGTATGTGTGTGTGTGCAACATAGCTCATTCTGTTAAAGCCCACCTCCGTCCACTTCTGGAAAGAACTGAATCCCGTAAGATTCGAAGTACACTTTTAAGTGAGAAGAAAGGAGGATGGCGTGCTCCTGCCCATGTGCGCCCGTGCACACACGGATTCCCAAGTGTGGCTCAGAAGGCGTTGGGCTTAGAATTCCCTTCTTTCTAAATAAACTGAGGTCCCAAAATGGAGCCAGGGAGTCAGGTGCCTAATGCACAGTGAACCCCAGGTTCTGTTCCTCCTCCCAGTGCCAGCCCTCTTTCTGGGCCCGTGGGGGCAGACCAGGCCAGGGGGCTTCAGAAAGGGGGAGGAGACGCGGAATTAGAGGACAATGCGTTTTTCCCAGGAGCGTTTTGAAGCCCCCTCGCACACCCTGACCCACTAGGTCCATTTCAGGCCCTGGTGACGGTGGGGTCTCCCTCCTGCGTCACCGCTGGGGCTCTAGTGTTTCCCAAACGTGGGATGCTCAGTGTGGGGAGGAAGGCCTGGCTGTTCTCCGAGCTTCACGGATGTATTATGCTGATCCAATGTCCCTTGAGCCCCCTACCCATCCCGTCACTGCACAAGGAAGCCATTCATGCATGCAAATCGCACATGGAATTAGTTTGGCACCCCCCCCCAAAAAAGACGGTGGTGTCCTGAAATAAAGGGCAAGGAAGCAGTATTATCATTTTATTTCCTAAACTGCACACCCGCTGGCCCAGGGACAGGCTCCCTGGGACCAGTCATACCTGCCTGGGAGATTTGCTGGAAGCTGTGCACAGAGCTGGTTTGGCGACCCAAACTGGGGGTGGGGGTCGGGGGCCAGTGCCCATGCCTCCAGGAGGGTCATTTGTTAGCATTTCAGGTGCCCACATTTACATCCCAAAGGGCTGGCTGCCCAAGTCGGTCCAAATGTCAAAAGGTAGCTCTGGCCCTTCTGAAAGGTGGGGAGACTCACTCTGGACGCTCACGGTTCGCACAGCTGTCCGCGTCTAAAGTGATGTCCCTCTTGAAAGGGATTTCCTGGACTTGTGTGGGGTCCTTCTGCATGCGGATGGCGGCAGGTCCCCTTGGTGGTGATCCTTCGTGGTCTACCATGACAATTGTCTGAACTTCTGGCAGCCTTGATCTCCCAGCGTGTTAGCACACGGTCTACCCGCCACACAGGTTGGTGTTGCAAACTCAACCCCTGGCACCATGGGAGAAAGGCCTGGCAGTCTGATGACAGCCAGGAAAAGTGGGAGGGGGCAGCTGCACCCCTTAGACACACAGGGGTCGCCCTGAGACCCGGAATGGTCTTCAGAGAACAGGGAGAGGCTGCCCTTCAACTCCCGTTCTTCGGTGTCCTTCGTCCCCCCACTCCCCTTTCTTTCTCTCTCTCCCTCCTCATCCCCATCACTGGCTCACTGGCTCGGGAGCTTCCCATGTCACAGGATCCTGTTTCTCTGGGGAGAAATGCTACGGACTCATTTGTTTGCCTACAGCGAAACCCCAAAGTGCTGGAGCTGGGGATGATAGTACGTGCAGGTTCTCATGCTCTGGGGCACTGAGGCCCAGGGTTCCGGAGGCTGGGTGTGTGTGCATGGCCTCATGGTGTGGGGTATGTGTGTGAAGGAAGTCCCCAGGGAAGGGGTGAGGGAGATGGGGGGTGGAGATTAGCAGTTTCCCTAGTTCTTGGACCAGAACCCAAGGCAAACCCAAACCCACTGTGGTGGCATCAGTTCTTAGAGCGACCCTAGGGGCAGACTCGAACTGCCCCCTAAGGTTTCAGAGGCTGTGGGTCTTGACGGGAGCAGACTGC